ATACTAATATATTACGTTTATATAAAATATTAAAATATAGCAATATCGTATTGCAATATATCTCATCCCAAGTAGCAAGATGGTGTCAAATGACGTTTTTATTATGTCTTATGAACGTTAGAAACGTCATTGAGACGTCATTTACTGTTACTTGCTTTTTAAAGTTATACATCGCATTAAAGTATGAATAAAATATTGCAGGATAATATATTGTTTTGTAATAAAACGAACATATTTTCATTAATATTATTCAAACAATTATTATATATATACATATATATAAACACTCTGCGCTGCAATATTTACGTTTGAGTATTATTAATGAAAAATATATTTGTAACATCACAAAATCATACATGTACACAAGTATATACACATATAATTAATTTTCACGGAATAAAATGTGATCAAAGTAAATTTATTATGCATATAGTTTTCTAGTAGGTATAATTGTATGCAAGATAATAAATTTATCGTGGTAAGGAATTTTATAAGCTTTTGCATTTTGACAAAGCCATGATTCTATAGATTTATTTTGCTTTGTTATAATTATTCCAAGATATTATGATTTGCACGGTGTATTTCTTATAAAATAATATTAATAATAAAGATAACATTTCAACGATAACATTTCAAATCTAATATTAAATTAACTAACATAAAATTAACTTTTATGGAAAGAACAGTCAATATTTGAGTGTTTTTTCCCGTAAGAGTATTCTGTAACTTCACAGTATTACAGTATTATATAATATTATTATGACATATCACTACAATATTACTATGATATATTTTCACAATATTTTCACAATATTTTCACATACATACTATAGTATATCACTATAATATTGCTGTGATGCATTTCGGCGGACATTTTAATATTACTGTGATATCATTGTGTAATAATGCATTAATAATATTTCTATTATATTACGTTGTAATATTGCAATGGGGAAGTAATATTATTGTGATATTGTTGTAATATTACGTGCTATGTGAGATATAACTCGAAATGCAAAAAGCGGCATCTAGAATATTGAACGCCGTTGGCTGAACGAAGGTGAGAACGCTGAGGACAGAGAAGGCATGGCCACCACGCGCGCGCAAGCATTACCAGCGACGTCCATTCTGCGGCGCGTCAATAAAACGTAGATATCTTGAGTCTCGTTGAACGTCTACCGAGCACTATGATAATTTTATCATCGTCCCCACACATTCGGTGATTATTTTATTAAAACTTCATTTGCATGTTGTGCTCACGCGCAAATATTATGTCTCTTCACGATGTGGGCATATTAACTCTAGCAGTACTAATTCTTGAAGCGCAGCAAGGTAAAGGGTGAAATTATTCACTGCGCGTTACTTACTAAAGATTCCGAGAATGATTTCGCGGGGTCTGTACTTTACATAGCGCGGACAGAGCGATTTCATCGCAACAACGAAGCGACAACCTTTTTCGCGCTGATTCGCACATGTCTTACGTCGTAATCCGAGTTTTCAAAGTCAATTCATGAAAATAATCGCGCCTAGCAGAAAGCAACGAACGAACGTGAAAATAATCGCACTGCGATCAGTAGGAGAGCAAGAAAAGCGAGACATGGTGAATGTAAGTGAGTCAGCAAGGAAATTTTTTATTTTAGCTCAATTATCCGTAAGCGTACGTCGAACACGAATAAGTTATGAGAGCGAGGTGAATATATATATTTTTGTGTCCGTAGCTGACATTCTCTCGGCAAGATATAATCGTGAATTTTGACTTGTAATCAACTCACGGGAGAATTATGCACGTAGAGTGTACATAGAGTGTAACTTGACCGAAATTGGAAGGAAAATTGCAACCAGTATTGATAAGCTCAACACAAATAACAACATGTAAAGCATGAAGTTGGATGTAGTCAAAACACTCAAGACACTCGTGAGTAAAGAAAGAAGAGATATGACTACAAAATTCTTTTGTATGCACATTCGTTAAATGAAAATGGATAAGTGTTCTTTAAACTAGTCGTATTTTCTTATTTGATTTTAAATTCATGTTCCTTAAAATAATATTATTTTGTGATTGAGTAAATTATACTTGTGTGAGTCGATCGAATAAGTTCTATTCAGATTATATCTCAAAACGTTCATGTGCGGCATAAAAATTTACGGTCTATAAGAGTTGTAACAATTCACAATTTGTAACTATACAATTTATAAACTTTTGCGTTGCAATCAGTTCTACTCGCAAGCACAGATGTTTTCTTCCTCGAATATTTGTACATTCCCAGAGTTTTGTTCTCCCGCTGTAAAATCAAGGTGCAAGAAGCGCTTGCCCTTCTTGTAGAAATTAATCCGTTCCTTAGAATCTGCATTATCTGGTACATTATAAAATTTAGGAAACGTCTGTTTATTCTGCTGCGACGACGAGTTTTTCTTTTTCAGCGCGAGTGTGTGTTCGTTAAAGCTTCGTGTCGGCACGCAAAAGTTCTGCTCTATTCACATAACACTGATTGTTTCGAGTGTTTCTCGTATGTCTGTACGGAGAGAGGCTCTCGCATGAATCGGTCAAACCGCATACAAGAGCGCGCGATAAATTAAACATAATGGCGCAAACTGTATACTAGCACGTCCGCAGATTCTTCTCGCGACCCGCGCCTGTGAAATGTCCTGAGGCGCCTCCGAGTTCACCGACACCACCGTGCTCATAGGTTCTGCGGGCTACGATGTCATTAGAACTGTGTAAAGTTCGCTGTGTAATTATCCGCTTCGTTGTCTCTTGCAATCGAAGATCTCGCGCCAAGATCAAGAAAGACGGAACAAAACCTTCGAAAAAAAAATGCAATTGCCCATTCCCTTTTTTCTGTCACGAAGAATACGCTTGAAAAAATCTAAGTGAAAGGAACCAGAAAGGTAGAACTATGTAGGCAACTAAACCCGAATAAAACCTCGAAGATTCATTCAGCTTGTATGAAATTCGAGATATTCAAATTAGCAGCTGAATCAGGGAGTATCATGGAAACTTATCAACAGTTCCCGTCTTTTTCTAATGAAAAATCTTTCCAACGCGTCGACTAAAGGATTAAGTTTGAGAAGAATCTTCTCATATCCAACTGAAAATAAATGGAGGCTCTTTCTCTCTCTCTCTCTCTCTCTCTTTCTTTGTGTAGTTTCTTTCTTTCTAAGTATCTTCAACGCATGCATGTGTGGATCCAATCTCTTTCGGTGTCTTCGAGTTCGGTTGAATTCTCCTGATAGCCTAGGGATCACTCCAGGCATGGATTTTGTCCTTCTCGTTCTGACAAAGATGAGCAACAAGCCGGCACTCGTCCAGATGCTCAACATATAAGGACTCCCGACGACGTAATTACTCGTTAAGATCTTTAGATCCTATGAATTTTTCTCTTCCGCAGATCGGCGCAACGATTCATGCTACACAGTGCAATCTTTTGAGGCATCGAGCAGTGATCCATAAGATCTGGCTTCCTGAACAATAATCTACTCGTTGTAGAAAATGACGACTCTGCTTGCAACGCGGTCTCATTATTTATTGTTCAATCAGCAATCAAGAGGTACAAAAAGAAAAGAGGGAGATTTGAACTTGCGCATATGAGTATTCGAGCGTTTCTTAATTTATACAAAGCAACTGCACACTCTAAATAAAGTATCTTAATATTACTTTGCTCGTATCTCCCAGTCTTCAAATCATTTATTTTATGTTTCTCCCGGAGAATTCTTACTCGATAAGATGTTATCATCGATGGTATATTATGTCGTTACATCGTTAACATATCGGCTCAGTTTTTACATATTTACCACGGCGGGAAACTGGATGGTAATTTTGAATTATTTTATATACTGCATATATGCACACACACACACACACACACACACACACATTATCGCAACGAGTAGAAAAAAAATTATACTCGATCGCGAAGGTGAACATGAATCTCAGATAGCTGCGATATATTCAGACCAGCAAACTTCGATTCTCACCTAACACTTTTCTTATCGGGCTCGATCGGTATCCTTGAATCTTTCGGGAAAGGGATGCCTGTTACTTTGAAGATAATAATTATTATTCTTTTAGCATAATCGCCAATAATGTTTGTGAAAAATATTGAGCAATTATATTTCATATTGGATTCCATGATATTATCTTTGCGCAGCAAGTGTGTGTAAATCAACCCAAGAAATAATAATCGAACAGCGTAGTTGGACATTTGGACGACTTAAATAGATTATTAAAGGATTTCAGAGTATGATGATCTCGACATGATCTCTTGAATAACTCTGACTTGAAAATATTGATTTCTACACATTTCTCTTGCTCCTCTCTCAATGTATTGTTGTTTCCTTCAATATATTAATGCCTACTTGTCATTGTTGTCAACATTACATACAATACACGAAGAATTTCGCAACCATCGGCGCAACTTTGAAGACTCGGAGAGTGCGGTAACCCGTTAACCTTCTAAATATACACGAGGCGCCGGGTCTGTCTTCGCTAACGCTAACTGACCTTTACCTACAGTATCGTCTATCCAGCGAGACACTTTAACCGCGACTACCCGTGCTTCATATGCCTTATACAGACCTTCGCGCGAGTCGAGGCGGGCAGATCGGTTCCAGGCGTTGAGCTCACTGACTTCGCGCACGTAGTGACTCCAGTGCGGAGTCTAGTACTCTCTCGTGGGAATGCGACAGAGCGAGACGGAAATATCTCGACCGGCTGCACAGGTGGGAGAGAGCCAAATGAGCAAACGAGCACGAGAGGGAAGAAGAGGAGGAAGAGGAGGAAGAGACTGGGAGAGGGAGAGGAGGACATGTACGTAAGCGGTCAGAGAGAGGAACTTGTAGAAGGAAAAGGAGAGGAAGGGAACCGTCAGAAAGAGAGAGGCAAGCAGCTAAGTCGAGAGGACCATCGGCCAATGAGACACCAGGCCGGTGATGACGTCGTGGTTGTCTCACGTCCAAGTCTCGCCAAAAGTCTTCTTCGGGTACCAGTTCGTCCGCGGTCTCCCGATTGGACGTGGAGGTCGTCCTTTCGACGTATCACCCACGGTGATCGTCGTCGTCTTCGTCGCGGCTTGGTTTTTTTTTTATAATATAGTTTCTCCCCTCGCGCAGTGAAACACAAATTCAGCCAAGATTGCATCCTGGATACGCGGAAGGATTGAGGCGGAAGGAGGCTGCTGCTGTCAGCCATGGGGACGGGTAAGTCCTGGTGTCCGCGAAAACAATTTTAGATCTCTGGTACCAAATTATTTACACCCTTTGGGTATCGTGTCCTACCGCATCGCGTCACTTCCGCGATAGGCTCATAAGGATCGTTTCGGACATATCCTAATCGGTCCCGTTCGAGAAACCCGCGTCCCGTTCCCGAGGAGCGACGGGAATTAACCTGAGAGAATTCTCAGAAATCTATTTTGGAGGAATTCAGCGCAATAGCGCGTACGCGGGCTGCACCGATCTTTTTCACGATGTTTGATTGACGGTCCGCAAGATGCGGAGGAGGAGGCGAGCGTCAAGAGATCGATCGATTAATTCACGTATCGTGAATTTTTTACGACCCCCGAGGATTATCGATTATCGAGAGGCTAATAACGCGCAACTTTGGCCTCTTCGGGAGTCAAGGTCGAGATTATTCGCTACTGCCTATCGTCAACTGGAATCACTCTGGGACTAGACTTTCAAGGACATGACTCGGGGAGCGTCCGTCTCTGTTAATCTCCGCTTATCCTTAAACTTGTTCTCCATCGTCCTGCGAATGATGACTCGCTAAGGCGGTCGTATCATCTTGGAGCATGATTTACGAACTTGCACGATATAAGGATCGCATAGTTCGCCTTGAAACAGATGTTTACCCGTAATGTAACATGCACATTTTTATCGACGATATTCTTCCCGATCAGTTCATCACGGCCGACGAAAATTCGTCTTATTGTTTCCTCCCTCTCGAGAATCTTCGCGAGATCCTTCATCGAGTCCTCCTATGCAAAAAGCACTTTCATCTCGCCGTTGATGACAAGATCCTGTTTGTTTTTGCAAAGTAGCTCTCTGAACAAAATCTCGTTATATCGTCCGACTGATAACTTGATCGATAAAATGAGAGAAAGAGAAATTGCTCTCTTGAAATAATGAAATAATTCGATCATAAGGTTCTCTCTCTCTCTCTCTCTCTCTCTCTCTCCCTCCCTCCCTCATATTTTCTTTCTACTTGGAACACTTGGTCAAATGAAAATCTGTTCGTGCATATTGTACGCCTCTGTCGTGAAATTAAACGTCTGCTGGTATTACATCAGGATGTACATCGGTACCGACCTTTAGTACATCCTTTAGGCAGATGGTGTCAAGGATGATGCGCGAGGTGTGTTGGCAGCTCGATCAGAAATTATGCGGCCGCCTAGGCGTAACGCAAATCAGATACCTATTTTTTTACATAACGAGATAAACACAAGCTTTTCTGTCTCTCCCTCTCTCTCTTTACTATGCGTGATTGTTTACGGACTGTTTTCGATCTTTCTTCCTTTCACTTCGTGGGTTTATTATAGTTGCAACACACGATTCTGCGTTGCAGAAACTCGAAAATCTAGAGTAACTACGAATCGGCAATGCATCTCTGAGCTTTCGCTCACTCCATAAAATATTTGAAAGTAATCGTATCATCGAATATTGGTAACATGTAGTTTCCGGTTACACGGTCGGTTTGTGTATGTGTGCGCCCACGTGTATGTGCGCAGACACTTTAAATCGCTTTAGAAAGTGACCGAGGCGATATATATACCGCGGTGCATACTTTCGATTAAGTGGCCCACCTTACGAAAAAAAACGAAGGATGAATCCGACGCACGCGTCCAGTTAGTCGTACGTGAAAGCTCGCGGGTGATTTATTCAACGGATTATATCTTATCACAATTGATTTCTTCTCGACGAGGAAGGTATTACGAAGCTCTCGCATTAGGGCGATTAGCAAACGCTTAATTCAGACTGAGTATGGACGGAATAGGTGGCGCGGATAATGATCTAGTAGGAGTTATTGCTAGTCTCCCTGCACTTTGTTACAAGATCGCCACGTTGCGCAAACGAAAATGACGCAAATAACGTCGATTACCCGGCATTTTTTTCCTGCCCAGAAAGTCAATACCTCTCATGTTATACTTTTCCTCGCACAGTTCTCATTGATTCAGTTAGCCCCCCCTCCCTCCCTCTACTCGCTCTTGTAATCTCCCGCTTATTTATCTACCTACTATCAGCAACGAGAGTAAAAGATTCCGCTGAAGTCTTGTTTAGATACCCTCTCTAACTATTGAATATTAAATTGATATTGGGGATGACAGGAGCGCAAAAACAGAAAAGAGAAGCGACTTGTCGTCTCCTCTTCGCATCTAACGACGCGGCACATATTCATCCTTCATCCTACGCCGTTATATTGCGCATTAAAAAGCCGGAACTCATCGAAGCTTGGCAATAGGTTCTCCTTCCCTCCTTTCCGCTCTCTCTCGCTCTCTCTCTCTCTCTCTCTCTCTCTCTCTCTCTCTCTCTCTCTCTCTCTCTCTCTCTTCTTTTCTGCTGGGTTCGATTTGAGAAAGGAAAGGAAAAGAGCGATATGCATCTTACTTTTATCCGCGACATTCCTATTCCGAGCGTGCTCTCTAAAGTGCAATGATTTCGAGCGGACACTTTCTGTGACAAGACGCATACCACCGCGGCTCTCGGATCCGGTTTTCACCGCGAGTGCGTGCGCGCCTGGGAACGATATAAAGCCATCGTGCAAAAAAGGTCTCTATGACGCGGCCGGAGAGACGACACAACGATTGGGAAAAAGGGGAAGAAAAGGAGAAAAAAATGGGGGGAATAGGCAAAGAGGAGCTAGTCGCGTCTAGCGAGTGAGCATATCAAAGATACCCGTGGACTGACAGAACCGATCTTCCAAGTGATTCTTTGCAAAATTCTCGGCGCTACTACACCTGGAAATATGTAAAGCACCTGTTTTTAACTTCCTTATCTCCGAATTAGACGACAGAGACGCTGAAGAAAGATGATGTTTTCAAATTGTACTTCTTTTGACTCATGCAACATCCGTTAAGTACAAAACTGTCATAATGTCCATCACATTATGTACCGAAAGATGCGAGCTGTAAAAGTGATGAAATTAATTTTACAGAAAGTTACTTTATCAGAAATTTATCAGAAAACGACCATCGTCGTTTTCACCAAGAAAGAAGTACAGCGCGAGTTGAAAACTTTGCCTTTAAACTGCTTAGATACGTTTTATTCGAGGTTTGTACGTCAAAGAGGCGTGAGCGTGTTATTAGATCGCGGTTTACGTGAAAGCATTGACTGGTGCAGTATTCATAAGAATATGGTAAGAGACATGGATTTCTCGCGATTTCTCGCGTGAGATTGCATTTCGCTTTTAATCATATTTTAGACGTACGTAAGGTTCTAGTTGAGGAATTTTTAGAATGATTGGCTACATGTCTGCCATCGGAGGTGAAAAGGTTAACAACGATTGTACCTTGTAACAAATACGTTCATATTTGGTATTCGCCATTATCTCACTAATATATTCGTAAACGCGTGTCATTCACTTGCTTCTCGTTCTCGATGCGGTCTACCAAGGAAATAGATTATCCGCTCACTTTATATGCCAGAATTTACTCGATTGTTATGTACAATTGTTAATACGATTTTGAAACGCAATGCACTCCGCCGCGGCGATTTATTTAGCGTGATTCCAATGACGTAGTCGTACGTGACGTAGTCGTCGTCGTCGTTGTCGTCGGTTTAGATCGATAGCGAAAGGTTTGGCATTGCCGAGGTCGCGGTTGTGTGTAGAACCTACAGTTTCGCTAATCATAATGGGAAACGCTGGAAATTAGCGATGGCGGAGCAAATAACCGCGATGGTCGATTGGTTACGTCAGTGGTTCGATATTTCGCTTAACGATTTTCCGCGTATGATGGAGAACGAAAGCAAACTGCGGGGAATAATACAAAAGCAAAAGGGCAAATAATAATTATGTTAACAATAATTATTGATTATGTAGAAAGATTATTCGTAATGTAACGTCACTTAGTGTGAACTCAGTGTTACTTCAGTGGGAAAAATTTGTTATAGACTTTTCTATATATTGTTATAATTATATGGTATATTTGCGTTACTTGAACTAATAAGATATTTGTGTTTCGGCAGTAGGACTCTGATACACAGTGAATTTGCATTTTTTTCGAACCGGTTCGATCCTTTCTGCAGCTGGGTGTGACCGTGAATGACGTCAATTTTATTAATAGAGTTCGAGAATGCAGCCTTACATAGTAAGAATCTCTCGGAGAGATACTCCAGTTTGGAAAAGTTGTTAATTATGTTTGTTTAGCGACCTATCTAAAATAATTCGCCAACTGATTTTATACAATACTTTGTCACTTCTCGCTATTTTCTTCCTTTTACTTCGATATTGTTTAATAATAAAGGATTTCTTAAATGTGTTTTTTAATGTTGTGACATATATTCTACAAACCACATGAACGCAAAAAGTAATAAATGGATCAACATATGCACGATCATTTTAGCTTAATGCGCACTATTCGATTTAATAAAACGAACAAAACTGTGTCATAGAGATTATTCGAGGTACCAGTTCCTCCAGATTACATAGCATTACACTCGCTAATTTTCCACCTATTACGGTAAATAAAAGCATCGCCGTAGACTCTCGTAGTATATATTCGACGTTACCTCTGTCGTAATGTGCTCTTATGTCTAATGTTTTATTCAATCTTTCCGACACACGCAGTAAAATCCAAACATATTTATTTTGCCAAACCTTCAAGTACTTCGCCCTAACAGTGCAATGTTAAGAGAGTAATCGTGGGGATATTATTAAAAAGAAAAGAATAAAACTTCTTAGGCGAGACGATAGAAATAAAATTCTAAGCGAGAGTTGTATTGATTTAAATTCGCTGATATATTCGCTGATATGTATTCCTAGCTCGTTTTTTTCGCGCGCATACATAACACGTTCGAAATTTTTTAGCGGCCGCGAATGATCTGGTTTGAACTTGATGCTGACAATCGTGCTGATTGTGTAACGAAAAAACACATATTGCACGCAAGACCCAGTTTAAATGCTTTCTATCGATCACAGCCGCAGAGAGCGCGTCTCTGCTGGAAATAATTAATAAGCGTAACGAAATCATCGTTGGTACTACCGG